CCCCAAAACCCCAAAACCCCAAAACCCCATTAAACAATATACAATAAAATTTAACAAAAAATATTAGTTATTAATTAATCAAGATGGGTTAAGTTTTAGAAAAAATATGGGGCCCTTAATCCCATGACGAAATTACTGGACTGATATAATTTGAGGGGGTAGGTAATAGGATTTAATCATTTATATTAATTAATTTTTAGTGGTTGAATGTTCATTAAAAAGAGATAATACTTGAGGATCCAATTTCAGAATTCGCATCTAATAATTAGCAAATTGATGAATAAGTTAGTCCATAGCACTTAGCATTTGATTCTTTGTCTCATAATAATGGAAACACTGGAGATAATTCAAACTAAAACAATTAGATGTTATTATCAAAAGCTTATTCAAACAAAAACCGCACTGAAAAGTGGAATTGCATAATTTAATATGTAGAACTAAAAGGCGATAGAATGATGTTTTATAATAATAAGCCTGATAGACTAAATTGAAATTCTTTTGTAAGTATGATAAAGATTAATTTTTACTACATCTGAAAAGATAATACAAAATTGAATAGTTAAATATTCACATAAGTTCACATTAGAATACTCTCATATTTAGTTACCATCACACCAGTTCATAATTTATCGCAAAGAAGGTTTGGTTGAATATAATGATTAATAGCAATCATTTATCTTACTGCTATAGGATTAAACAGCAAAATTCAAATAAAAGTAAGGAATAAATATATTTTTGATAAAATTCTCCCAATTATACAATTGATAGCACAATTTTGTAAACTAAATATAGAAAATTAAAGTTTGAATGTAAAGAAAGATCTTAATACCTAACTTGGATTTATGAGATTAAGAGAATTCAAAGACCACAGTGGTCAGACCCTGAAGTTAATAACTGCTACATCTGCGAATCTAAGTTCACTCTTGTTTCTCGCTAGCATCATTGTAGAAAATGTGGAACTGTAAGATTTTGAATTAACTATAAGAATTTATAGGCGGTATGCAAAAATTGTTCTAATTATTTTTTGAAACTACCAGAACTTGCATATATCAAGCGAGTGAGGATATGTAGGCACTGTCTTGAATTAATTCAATAAAGAGATAAATTAATAGAAAGAATGCGTTAAATTGAATAATAAAAGAAGTTTATAGGGAATAACTAATATTAAAATCATGAGAGTATGATGTCAAAGAGTGATAAACCAGAGAATCGAATTATAAGTAGATACAATAAGGCTAAATAAGTAACTGGAAGTGGCATATCAATGGAAAGAATTGATGAAACTGAGCTTAGATATCAAAGAGAAATCTTAGGTTATAACTCTTTTACCAATCATTAATCCAATAATCCAGACGAGAGTAACAGCTATATGCATTTATCTAGTTTTCCAGCATGACTGATTCTAATCTTATTTGGAGAAAATGAAATCAGTATTAAACTGCTTGAATAGCATAAATCAAAATGATAGTATTATATCAATAAAAACCTAAAAATGCAATTTTTAACATAGATTGTAATTTTATTAGGAATTATGTTTAAACTTAAATTCTTAAATACATGTATGATGGGGTTTTGGGGTTTTGGGGTTTTGGGG